CATTAACAGCTGAAATCTTAATCTCATTGTAAAGTTTCTCACTAATTTCATCAGTATCATGTGGTGGTCTGTAACAATTTTCTAGTAAAAGCCTTTTCCCTATATATCCACTAATAGAAACCCAAATGGATCTTCAATCTTCTTGCCATTATCTTTGATATCCTCAAGTTCAGTAGGATGTAACTCCCATTTTACATATAAAGTAACTCCTCCCCCACTCCTTAATGATCTATCCATATTAAATAGAGATATTATAATGGATATTCTCATTGATGCTAGTAGAACGTCAATTTTCATAATATATCTTTATGAATTTGGTTAGTTTTGATTATAATATCTTATTAAATCAAATCATTAAATCAATGATACAGTTTAAAATAAGCTGTAGAATATATCCAAAGTGATTTACTCCCTAATGACAAACGTACTTTTATTATTTGAATCATATTTGCCGGATAAAGCTGTAGATTTAACGTTTTTTGTAACATATTCAATATGACATATTTTACTTTGCTATGAGTTATTTGAAATACCCACTTCAATCAAGCTTGTTTCTCAATTACCAAAGAAGATAAGAATTCTTATAAACAGTTCCTGTTTGTGACCTTCAATAAATCATGTCATTCTGATACTATGCTTGAAATGTGCTCGTCATTGTAGTTCTTTGTTTGAAGTGTTCTCGTCATTGGTGCTTTGCTGGAACTGTGGTCTTCATTGTTGTTATGATTGAAGTGTGCTAATCAATAGTGCTATGATTGAATATGATTATCAAGGGTGCTATGCTTGAAGTGTGCTCATAATAGTGCTATTATTGAAGTGTGATCATCAATGGTCCTATGATTGAAGCATGCTCGTCAATGGTGATATGCTTGAAGTGTGCTCATCAGTGGTGCTATACCTGAGATGTGATTACCAAAGAGTCTCTATATGAATTAATAATCGTAATATCCATGTGCAGTAAAGTATGCCTACTAATGGGGTTTTGTTGGTGACATGCCTTAAAGGGATGCCATGCAGTGAAGTATACCTTTTACTGTTTTTGTTTTGTTTTTTTCTGAAAAATTCCTCACAGTCTTTAATAGTAATTTCCAATCACAGCAAGTTATGTACTTAGAGCAAAATTAAAATTTAACTGACAATAAGCATAGCTAATTAGATATATTTTTCTTACTTTCCTACTAAAAATATTTTCGGCCGTAATCCCGATAATATTTTGCGTCGTTCGGCTAACTTAGGGGATTTAGGTTAGTTCTAAATACATATATTAAACTAGCAATGAAAAAAAAATCTATAGAATAAAACTATAATAATAAAAACTAAATTAAACAATTAATGAAGGTAACAACAAATAAATAATTTAGTATACCTTTCTTAGTGAGTAGAGAAACGCTAGTCATTGACTTGAACTACTGTTGTATAATTAATTTCTTTTAAAAAGTAACATCATTTAACATCCCTGGAGTTTCTATTTGTCTACTTTATCCATAGCACATCTTTTGATTAATGAAATCTCGTTAAGCCACTCTGTAGTGTAACTTTAGAGGAGAGTGGCATTTGTACCAAATTTATGACGTTACGTGTTACTGTTTAAACTATCTCGAGTTAGCAGTTATTTACCTATAGTACAACCAAAAACTAATGTTTATAAAGATAATAAATAATAAATCAAAATAATATCTGAATCGTTCATGGAATGTAACAATGTTAAACGTAATACAATGAAAAAAAATGCTAATCATACTCTGCCTCTAACTTGATGTTATACGTTATTTCAATCGATGTTTTAAAACTGAGGTATTGAATGACTATGGCCTATGTTCGCGCAGAAATTAAAGTCTCACTTTGCTTCTAAGTAAAGTAAAACTTGTAGAATAGAATAATACACTTTAGAGCCAGTCTTGCCTTCGAATAAGGCAGAGTAAATATATCTACATTGGGGTGGCAGCAGCGTTGCATTTCTAGCGCCAAATAATACGACATTGCTACTCTTCTAATCCACTGAGACTGTGCGAACGAATTGCGTCACTTTCAGTTGAAGTAATTGTTCTGTTATATTACTTAAGAGAAGAAATTAACTCGTAAATTTTGTTTATAGGAAGTTATGCATCTATGTATAAGTAACAGGAATTATTATTATTATTATGTTTATGCTAATAATATGTGTTTATCACATTTGTGTGATGTCACAATGATTACATTCTTTACTTTAATAATATTTTATGTACACAGACCTTAGGTTTAAAAACATTCATTTTTTTCTACATCGCACAAATAATGTAATAGCTTCTCTGTTGTTTTTTTCAGGTCATTTCTTTGGAACTGATAAACTAATTACCATGGTTACAAAGAAACAGTCCAAATACACATGGTTACTCCCAGTTCTGAGGTTGCAGTGGAATGTTATTTTACCTGTCACTTACTTGGTATGTTAATATAGATAGTTTCAAACATATATGCATATAGTATTCCTTTAAATATCAATGGGTTTGTGAAAATTGTCTGAATATCGTTTCTCTATTATGTCGACATGTTCCTCAGAAATCACTGCAGCGTTCTGATGACTATAAACGTTTTCGAAGAACACCAGTGTATCATTTCGTTGTAGCAATATAACACTTCAATCAATATCTAAGTATCATATCATGTTACCGTTATATTAAACCATTTTTCATTATATCATTAAGATCTTAACAGCACATAGATTTTAATTTTTCGGAATTTTTTTCTTTTAGATTGCGATAAAACAAGAAATGAGAAAACAAACTCCAAATGTTATAAAAACAAGCACAAAATTGGCTAAGAAAATGTTTTTAACTCTTCGTAAAACATATTTTGATTACATAGTTTATCATGACTATAAGAAAGTATGAAAAACGATTAAATGATAGAAACGCATCAAATAATAAGTATATTAGCTAGCAGTGGTTGGTGAAGACTTTACTAAATGTGTTAAATAGGGTTAAAACACCAAGATTATTTTTAGAAATACTGTTTCAAGAAAGTAACGTATATTATAAGCGGAACGCTAAATTCAATCATTTATTACTTTTGTATGATTAGACTGGACAGTTCAAACATGGGTGGGTAGTGCATAATATATAGCTTACTTAATTTATAACAAATAATGTCTAACAATATGATGTGTTTAAAGAAAGACTTAGCCTGATTGGATGAAAGATACTGATATCACTTTAAGAATAACATGTGTAATATCATTGTCTGTGAATCTGTAGTTTATACCCATGAATATCCTAACATCCTAAAATTATGACAAGAGTTTTCATTCAGCACTGCTCTGAATGTCTCATAAATGACTTAGATGAGGATAGTGATAAGGAATGAACTATCAAATCTTGTTTAGACATTGCAATACTGACGTGTTGTACGGGCTTTTCCACAGACCAATAGATCAATTATTAGATCTGGCCTATAAGATTCATCACAATAGTCACTTAGCTTATACTGTGTCTACTAATGATGTTCTAAACCATGTTTCACTCTATTTGTACATTTTGGGACTTGAAAACCATTGGAAAGACTTAATTAGTAATAGCGTATGTGTATTCCTATATAGTAATAAAATAATAGACATGCAATAAAATGAATGCTTTAAACGTGTATTTCGTCACATTATATCAAACCTACTGAGACTTTCTTTCCCGAAGACAAGGGAAAATGAGTAAATACAAGGTGTATACGAAATGCCATAAAGACTATTTCAATGGTAACAATATTATCTGTCCAATTGTACTTTTCAAGGTTCTGTCGATTTCCTTCTGGAGAGTCGGAAATGCAGCATCCACGTGGACTGATTTCGCAGACAATTATGGCTACTGGGCACCGTGGTTAAGGAAGTTATCTCTGCTGATACAAGTAATACCCCTGTTGATCATAGCTGGAACTACCATGATTCAGGGGGTTCATTATCTGAGGACTTCCTCATCACAATCATTTCATGAGGTAGGTCTTACTGATTGTTTCTCATAAATTCTAAATAACCTCAAACAACTTGTATGTTCACTATAAATACTGTATATATATATATATATATGTGTTATTCTGTATATGTACTGTACAAAATCACACTAGTATCAAATTTCCGTAACAAACCGGTTTTAAGAGTTCAGTATAAATACTATATAAAAACAGCCTTGTTGAGCATTCATGATAAATAGTTATTTACTTAAAGCTATACCTAGAAATGTCGAGAATTTAAATATTATGAACCCAAGAGTTAATGATCTAAATCAGCACATCGTTCTGAAAGTTTACTTGAAGATATATATATATAAACTATCATTCTAAAAGCTTGTTAAAATTTCTTCAACATCACAGCTATTCTAAGTGTTTCATTCGGATTCAACAAAAAGACAATCATTATGGAAGCTTCACTAGAATCTCATGCCATGAATGATAAACATTAAATTCAAGTTTTTTTTTTTATTCCAGAGTATTTTTTATATTTCTATATTTTGATTGAAACACTTTGATAAAAGTTTTACACTTACTATTCATGCATATTCATTATCCAGGTGTCGGTGGTGAAAATTACAGCACATCTCTTGTCTTATATCTTCAAAAGCATTACTAGCGATTATTATTTAGCACTAAGTTTTCATTTCTTAGTAGACTGAGTCTATACTCAGTTCTAAGCTATTATTTACACTATGCAGAACATATTGTACTAAATTATGTTTCACTTGACGTTCTCTGACGTTAACTATTTAGGTGTCAGAGTTGCTTAAAGAATTTGGCAGGTTTGAAATTTATATTCGGAAAATCGGTGACCCAACGAGAATACACAAACCGATAGACCACAAATGAGCGTTGTAATTTATAAATTCGATCTTTCACTTTGAAAAAAATAATTCAATACAGGTTTAGAAAACAAATAAACAGATAGGTGTGGATAATCCATCCACCGGTATCTACATAATGAACGTGAGAGAGCAGCAAGTGTAACATAATTTAGTATATTGTGTTCTACAAAAAATGAAGAATAATTTAGAACTGTGTATAGACTCTCTCTACTAAGACGTGAAAGCTTAAACTTAATGTTAAGTGAGCATCGATGACAATGCGTTTGAAGATATAAGACAAGATTTGTGTTGTAATTTCCCTCACCGACACTTGGATGCGTTTGAAGATATAAGACAAGATTTGTGTTGTAATTTCCCTCACCGACACTTGGATGCGTTTGAAGATATAAGACAAGATTTGTGCTGTAATTTCCCTCACCGACACTT